AGTCATGGTCAGTACATATTAGGTCACGGCTAGTCTATGCTTTGTCACATGGTGGTGACGTTCCAGTTTCATATGAGAGGGCTCTCAGTTAAGTAAGTGCACTACAAATGCCCACTGGGAAACACCCGTGGTCTATCTAAAACATTGTTCCAGTGCCCCCTTGTTTTTTGTTTGGCTTTGTTTTTTTTTTTTAATCCCAGAGAAAATACCATAGAATATTTCATTAGACCTTTTTATTCAAGATCCATCTTAAAAAGTTGAGGCTGCACCTCAAATATCTTTTATTTTCATTACTAACTTGTTACATGACCCCTACTGCCTGTGAATATATCCAAAGATTTTTCTGTGTTTTAATCTGAACTCACTTTGAAGCTATTTATATGTTTGGCATGGTAACACGATGGAGATAATAAATGCCATGCAGGTCTGACTCCGCTTTGAAAGCAGTTTTCTTAGTGACATCTTCCTCAGGATTCCTTGAGCTAACTTTATGGCATCTGGTAAGTAACTTCATATTCACTCCATAGCGTTTATGATCTCACAATCATTTCCTGCAGATCTAGCCTGGAAGCTAAATTTTAAAACTAGCTGTGGATTTAGAAGATGATTCATAAGCTCTGTGCATACCATGGTTATGACTGGTGGAAGGCAAAGATTCTTACATCAGTCTTCTTTACATTTAACAGCAAGGGAAATAACAGGTTAGAGGAGTACTTTGTATCTACCCTCCCTTGCTTCCGGCAAATTAATGAAAGCCAAATAAATTGCAACACTTTGATATCTGTGTCTCTGTAACGTTAAAGACAGCCCTGGGCTAGGAGAGATGAACATGGTAGGGCACCTCCGGGCCAGCTTCCCAGTGGAGCAATGGTATTGGAGAGGTGGACAACGTGGGGAGGCTCAGGGAGCTATATCTTCAGAGGCAGAGAACAACACGGTGCATCAGGCAAGCAACAAGCTCTTTTTGCAGCATAAAAGCAAGAGGGGAGTGTGGCAGGAGAAAAACTCAGGTTATTTTATTTTTTTCTGAAAACCACTTGCTGAAATAGAACGCCTCTTCTGAATACTGACATCACGAGACTATCAATTTAGGTTATATTAAATTTTTTCAGGATAGCTATCCTTAAATTTCAAAGCATTTATTGGCCAGGCTTCTAAAGTGCGATAGCATAATTCACTAGGAAGCAGGGAATTTAGAATCGAGGTGACACCGGACCCACAGAGTGAGTCTCTGGGGGTAGAGGCGGGAATACGCTCAGTAAGGCAGCGGGTCAGCCCTAAGGCTGCCCAGGGTGAGGCCTCCTCTGCAGGGTCTCACGGGTGCCTTCTCCTGCCTTTTCCTGGAGCCATATCTAACGACTTTAAAATGTTAACCCTGGGTCTGTTCTGGTGAACTTCATCAATGTTTGTAACATCCTGGAAATTATTTATTCCAAGAAGCTGGAAATAAAAAAAGATCTTCCCAGATTTCTGAAAATGGGGTGGATCCTGACCTACATTCAGTGTTCTAGATTAAAATCACAGATTTTGGATAGAGAAAAAAAAATATTCTCTGCCATCTAATAAAACCAACTTTTTTTTTTTTTTTTTTTGAGACAGAGTCTTGCTCCATGGCCCAGGCTAGAGTGCAGTAGCACGATCTCGGCTTGCTGCAACCTCTGCCTGTCGGGTTCAACCGATTCTCCTGCCTCCTGCCCCAGCCTCCCAAGTAGCAGGGATTACAGGCATGTGCCATGATGCCCAGCTAGTTTTTTGTATTTTTAGTAGAGATGGGGTCTTGCCATGTTGCCCAGGCTGGACTTGAACTCCTGACCTCAGGTGATCAGGCCATCTTGGCCTCCCAAAGTGTTGGGATTACAGGCGTGAGCCATCATGCCTGGCCAAAACCAACATATTTTATGGATAGGAAATTGAGGCTTAGATGGCGGGGGGGAAAAAACATTACACAGATTAAACCACAGCTAATGTCAAGTGGTGACCAAAGGCGAATCTTTTATTGCAGGCTGTGGGTTTTTCCATGTGGCTGGTGGTACGCTGCACCAAGCAGCACACACACTAGGCCAGTTTCCTGTGCAGACCCAGGTGCAATCCCATCTCTAAGCCAGGATGCTATTAGGTCTCAACAACCCATGGGAATTTAGGGTGCTCACAATTTAGGCTGGGAAGAGGTGACTAAGCTCCTTGGTCTAAGGTCTATGCAACTGGCCACTCACTCTGGACCAGGGACATTCAATGCCAGACAGTGGTAGGGCTGGTCTGGGGTGACAAGCCAGATCCTGGGCAAAGCAGCCTTTCTGCTAAGGGTTCCCTGGCAGAGCACGACGATGGCCACTTGGGAATGTGATCTGACAGTGACAGAAGTCTTCTTTCAAAGCCCATTCCTAGGGCCTGCCGTTTCCCCAGCACTGTGTCCCAGGAAGCCCCCTTGCTAGCCATCTTCATAAACGACTAAAACATGTTTTGGAAAGTAGTTTTTCTTGGTATTTAGTGTGTGGCTTACTCTCTTACTGTACTAATAATATGAATTGCTGAAGGCTTCCTGGAAATCAAAACTACAAATTAGAGAAAAATAGGGTTAGAGAAAATGTCTTTGATAGTCCACTTTGAAATTCAAATAATGATTTGAGAGGTTTAAGAATTATTATGTGAATAGATGGTGAAGTGACAGAATATTAATTATAGAATCTAGCCAGTGTATTTTTCATAATAAAATGTTGGAAAAAAGTATTATCACATTGTCTGTGGTTACCAATATCCAACAAGTTCATGGGCTCCTACCGCTGGATGTAACAGCAAAAAGTCTTGAAACATAAATTAAATATGGAAATTAATAGGGAAAGATACATGACTCAATACATGATGGGGGATTTACTATGTGGAACAGACTCCATTTGGATCTTTTTTCACACCTTAAAAAAAAAAAAAAAAAAAAAGACACAGGGTCTTGCTCTGTTGCCTAGGCTGGAATGCAATAGCATGATCATAGCTACAGCCTCAAACTTCTAGGCTGAAGTGATCCTCCCACCACCTCAGCCTCCCAAGCAGCTAGGACTACAGACACATGCTACCATGCCTGGCTACTTTTTAAATTTTTTGGTAGAGGTGGGGCCTCACTATGTTACCCAGGCTGGTCTTGAACTCCTAGCCTCAAGCGATTTTTCCACCGTAGCCCTGCAAAGCACTAAGACTACAGGTGTGAGCCACTGGGCCTGGCCACATCTTACGTCGAATTTGGTGAGTTTAATGTTATAAATGAAATTATTATTATTTTTTAATTAGATGAATATTTTCTAACTTCTGGGTAGGAAGGAATTCCTAAGCCTGAGGTAACAGAAGTTATACAGGAAAAAAATAAAATCATTTACTCCACTACATAAAATATAAAGGTTCTCATGGGAACACATGGGGGGAACATCACACACCAGGGCCTGTCAGTGGGTGGGGGGCTATGGGAGGGATAGCATTAGGAGAAATACCTAATGTAGATGATGGGTTGATGGGTGCAGCAAACCACCATGGCACGTGTATACCTAAGTAACAAACCTGCACGTTCTGCACCTGTATCCCAGAACTTACAGTACTGTAATAATAATAATAATAATAATGGTTCTGTATTTCCAATAAAGTATAAGCAAAATTAAAAGTCAAAGAAGCTGGGAAAAATATTTGCCTCAAATATTTTACACACACACATACACACCCTTATAAATATATCATAGAAACAGTCACACCCTAATAGAAAAGTTGATAATGGACATGAACAGAACATTTACAAAAGAAAACAGCAGGCTGATACACACATGAAGAAAGTTCAATGTTATTGGTAGAGATGAAAACATGCCACATGCCTGACATGGAGTGAACATTCATTAAACAGCTTCTGAGTAGATGAACCAAAAAGAATGTAACCTTTTTGTCTAAAGATAAAAAAGAGAGAACACTCAATGCTGATGAAGATATGGAGAGAAGGACATTTCATACATTGCTAAAATGTGTAGAACTTGGTTCAAGCTTTCTAGAAAACAACTTAGCAAGGTATATCAAGAATCTTACACTTAACCTCCTTTTACCCAAGAAATTCACTGCAAGGAATCTCTCCTAAGGAAATCATTAAAAATATGCCCAAGATTCATGTATTTAAAAGGTTAATTACTGTAATATAAAAATAGTTTTTAAAAACTGGAAGCAAATTAGACACTCCCAAATTAGAGAATTAGCACCATTAGAAATATTTTAGAGGCATTTTAAAGCATAGGGAGAACATGCCTGTTTTAAAAGTGGGATTGAAAGTGTCTATACAGGCTGGGCATGGTGTCTTACACCTGTAATCCCAGCACTTTGGGAGGCTGAAGTAGGAGGATCACCTGAAGTCAGGAGTTCGAGACCAGCCTGACAACAGGGTAAAACCCTGTCTCTACTGAAAATCAAAATTAACTGGTGTGCTGGTGCGTGCCTGTAATCCCAGCTAATTGGGAGGCTGAGGCAGGAGAATCGCTTGAACGCGGGAGGCAGAGGTTGCAGTGAGCCAAAATTGCGCCATTGCACTCCAGTTTGGGCAACAAGAGTGAAACTCCATCTCATAAATACATGAATGAATGAATGAACCTCTACAGAATTATGCTGATTCTGCAAATTGCGTGTTTGTAGGAAAGTGCGGGAAGGAAACATACAAAACCCTAATAGAGCTTTGAGGATTAGAGGTAATATGTGGAATCTAAAATAGTCAAATACAGTCCATAGAAACACAGTGGTGGCTGGGGGGGATGGGGAGATGTGGGTCAAAGGGTATAAAGCTGGAATGATGTCAGATGAATACATCTGCAGTACAGCATGAGGACCACAGTGAAGACACTGAATATTTCTAAGTACATTTTAGGTGGGCTTACCCAGGCACAAAAAGGTAACTGTGAGATGGTACACTCATAGCTTGAGTGTAAGTTATTATTTTGCTATGCACATATTGTATCAAACCAGCAGGTTGACACTTTAAATATATACAATAAAAAAAGAGGTTTCATTACAAATGAGTAACAATAAAATGAAAAACACCATATAAAAAATTAGAAGCGTGATCCCCTGCTTTGGAGATAGGTCTTCACTCAAGTCCTTATCCACACGGCCCAACTCCCCATTGGCTCTGTCTCTGCCACTGACTCTCTGTGTACTGACATGTCTGAATGCCACCTGTCCCCCCTCACACCTGGGCTTCGTCTGAATGCCACCTGTCCCCCTCACACCTGGGCTTTGTCTGAATGCCACCTGTCCCCCCTCACACCTGGGCTTCGTCTGAATGCCACCTGTCCCCCTCACACCTGGGCTTCGTCTGAATGCCACCTGTCCCCCCTCACACCTGGGCTTCGTCTGAATGCCACCTGTCCCCCTCACACCTGGGCTTCGTCTGAATGCCACCTGTCCCCCTCACACCTGGGCTTCGTCTGAATGCCACCTGTCCCCCCTCACACCTGGGCTTCGTCTGAATGCCACCTGTCCCCCCTCACACCTGGGCTTCGTCTGAATGCCACCTGTCCCCCTCACACCTGGGCTTCGTCTGAATGCCACCTGTCCCCCCTCACACCTGGGCTTCGTCTGAATGCCACCTGTCCCCCCTCACACCTGGGCTTCGTCTGAATGCCACCTGTCCCCCTCACACCTGGGCTTCGTCTGAATGCCACCTGTCCCCCTCACACCTGGGCTTCGTCTGAATGCCACCTGTCCCCCCTCACACCTGGGCTTCCTCTTGGACTGCATTTTGTGGTGAATGATGCCACTTGATAACACTGGCCACTCTGCCTGCATCACCCTCCCCCATTTCTCCCCCAAATCCATCACCATGTGTGCCCTGACCAAAGCTTTCCATTTGGTCCCCTTGCCTCGATGGCCTGTCCCCCACCCCCTCAAGTCACTCTCTTCACTGCAGCCCGCCTGGCCTTTCTGAAGCGCACATCTGACTTTGTCAGGCTTCTGGGTGGAAATCTTTAGGCTAGCAAGGCGCAGCATTCAGACCTGTTCCAAGCACTGCCGAGTCTGCATCTCCCATCACCCCTTCCCCACACACACAGGTCTGGGCCTCTGGCCAGGCTGTCCCACCTGCCTTCCATCCAGCTAACTCGGCCAAGCCTGTCCCTTGAGTCAATTGTGACTTTGCCTCCACTGGAAGCTGTGCGGGGTGGAGGTTGAGTGTCACAAGCCCTGCACATGCTGTTTTTATGCTCCCATGGCACTCATCACACACTGTGACTCTGTTTCTGTATCTTTGTCTCCTCTACCAGACCGTGAGCACCTAGCCAAGCAGGCCCTCAGGGTTTGTAGAATGAATGAATACATGTTTCCACCACCCCAGGAGACTTAATCTGCTTTCATCCTGAAAGAGGTATCAAACCAAGATTTTGTAGCTTCCCCCAGTTAGCTGCTGAAGTATTTTATCATCCTCACAAGTGAGACAGTCATCCTTGTGTATTAATCACCCAGCAAATTCATGTATTATATGTTGTCTGTCATGACACTATCGCTGGTTTTATTTGAACTTACTTATTCCTGCTAAGTCTATCACAGGAACATTACTCATATCACTAAACACAACAATCATCTCAAGTACGGAGCACCAGACAGTGTGGAAGGCCCCAGGAATATAAGGATAAACCAGACTGTTACTACTTAAAGGCCATTAGCAAGAAATCCTCTAGCCTTGTGTGGAATAAAACTCTCAGTTGCCTTATCTTTTCCTGGAAGGGCGTGTAATTTCTGTTGCTTGTGTATCAGCTTTTCACAATTGTCCAAAATCTTTTTTCAAGTGTGACTCAAACAGGACACAATGATGAATCTGACGAACACTAAGTCTTGTTTTCTTACCCTTCTGTGTCATGCTCCTTTTAATATACCCAAGAATCATGACTATTTTTTTCCCACAACGGCCTCACAGCATTGACTTAAGTTTAGCTGATGAGTGATAAAGGCTGCATTTTTTAAAAAAAAATGATGTTTCTTTTGTACTCAACCATGCTATTTTAAATCTATCCCTACTACATTTCTTCTGCTAATGTAGAATCATTTTTATGCTTTGTTATAATTGTTACGAATTATACTCCTGGAGTTGAGATGATTTTGAGTCCTACCTAATGTGGTAGTGTGCACAATAGAAAAATGAAAAGAGATTTCCTAGTTTTACATTGTGCAAAAGGCATAGACAAATATACATATGAAAACTCTGCCCAACTGCTTAATGTTGAGTCTTCAGCCCTCCACCTGAATTCACAACGTACTTTACAAATACTCGTGGCTAAATGTTGAGGGATTCTGGGCTATCAGTTTGGAGGCTCTGGTATTAACCATGCTCTTTATTTATTATTAGTCATGTATTTTCCCCACCCTTTGTCTTTGGCTTTGCACCCCCACCTAGTAACCACAATGACTTCTTTTTGACCTGGATGGCTCGTCTTTTTAAATAACAGTGTTTCCTGGGAAGCTTAAGAACAGCAGAGTCACAGTGAGGGCTTAGTCCAGGGCAGCCTTCTTCACGTGGGGTACATGGATGTGCTTCTTTGGGTCTGTAAATGGGCAGGCAAATGTTTGCATACAGGTGTGGGAAAAGGATTCATGGCTTCCATCATAATCTCAAAGGGATCTAGCACCCTGGAAAGGTTAACAACTCTTAACTCCCAGGCATTCGGACACAGCACAGCATAGCACACTGAATAAACAGCCTCAGTATGTCTGACTCAACCTTTTACTAAGCCACCTCCCAAGAAAGCAAGAAATTCTCTAGTAATTATACACCAACCATCTTCTGGAAGGCAATTACGCTCACCACTATACCACCAACACGCCAAACATCCTTTGAATAATTAAGATCATAATTTGAGGGTGTGATTTTTTTTGGGGGGGGGCAGTCCAGCATATGTGACATTATATAGAGGCCATAATCTAACACGTTAAATATCAAAGCTATCTTTTCTCAGTTTCTGCTTTTATCCAGGTTTAACATACATTCTTTGTCCTCTTCTGATATTTTTAGCTGATTTGATAACATTGGTTGAAAACCATAACATCATGAATCACAAGTTTCTCTACATATTAACATTTTGTTAGTAGCTCAAAGCACAAGCCTTTCATTAACTGTTGATAATTATATTATTTTTGCCAGAATACACTGGTGCCTTGTATACTTGTGTTTAAATAGCATTACAAATATCATTTTGGTGTACGTATGTCAAAACCAAAACTGCCTTTATGTCAATATGCTGTAAAAATCTATCAGAATGTATCTTAATTCTTAACTTTCATTGTTGTCTGTGGGTTGTCTTGTATAATTATTATCACATCCACCGTATTTTCTGTAGGTAAATATGAAATGTATTATAAACGTACCGGGGGAAAATGCCCTTTAAAGCCTTTCCCTAGACAAAGCACCATTTAGGCGTTTAGAAGCAAGAACTAGTGAAATCAGAAATTGCTGTCATACATACTCACCTGTGAATGGTTGTACAAAGGATCCCAAGCGCAGGACTTGTCCTGGAAGCAGAGGATCGGATTCCACCAGGAAAAGAGGCAAGTAGAAACGCCAAATGCCAGCGCTCCCTTTCCCCAGCTCATCTTATTTGTAGGCACACAGATTTTGGAATCCTCCAGGACTAACAATAAAAACCACACTAGGTTGTTTTCCTAATTCCTGTGAAATGAGTCAGTAGGTCAAACAACTTATCCACTCCAGAGAGAGAACAATTCCTTGAGCTACACTCCCTGTTTCCAGTAACCCTATTCCCTCTCTGTGCCCCTGGATAAAAGTGCTGCCAATAATGCATGGAGAGCCCACCAGGTTCTGAATGAGACACATCGTAGAGATTGCCAGAAAGTTAGCTGCCTTCATGGGATAGTTTCCCTTATGAATATTTAGGAAGAAAAAAGTCCAGTTAAGAGTAACATGAGGATTGAGCTTCTTCATTTAAAGAGTCAGCATAACTTTTTCTCTGTTGAGACTGTTTATTTCTTTCATACAGGAGGACTGAACGATGCTGAAAATAAATATAGAAAAGCGATAACTGTACCTTTAAAAGCCCCTACAAACCACTTCCTCCTGTAAAACACCCTTTCCTCCTCCAAAGGTGTATATTCACAAGATTCACTGATTATTCAATGAATCCATATTCTTAAAAACCCTTCACAGCCGTCTGTGCGTCCTACAGTTCCATGCTCTGTATCATATAAAGCAGAAGGTATTTAAGAGCTTGCTAGCCATCATTTAAATCCATGACTCAAGACGACCAACACTGGGTTACCAATAATCTTCAGAAGCTACCACCTACTCACCGAGTGTAACATTTCTTGTAGTGAGCGACCTCTGCATAGGAAATCACCAGCTCCTGGCAACGAATCCATACTTCCAAGAACTCACACATTCAGGCAAATATATGGACATACATCTCTAAATATAGATACAGAGAGGTCTGCCGTGACAGTTCAGTAGGAGACTGGAAATACTTTTGCTTTCTGTATCGATAGTACTTTCTTTCCTTTTTAAAGAGAAGGTTTCGTTTTGATCTTGAGAAATTCTGATAAAACCACCAACTGAAAACCTGCCATTATAAAGGAGGGATTTCACAACGTTCATTCCAAAAAACTGTGGCTATTCATTTCTGGAAGTGATTCACTGCAGAAGAATCGCTGTTTGGGGGTGGAGGGAGCATTGATTTTTAGAAGCCAGCCTGCCCTCTGAGAAGTGAGCAGGAACCTCCGAGATGGCAGCCACGTGCCTTCTGACCCCCAGCCCTGCTCCCTGAATCACCACCCCTCGAGATGACATGCAGTGACCAATTTCCTCTTAAAACTGCCTTCTGTACAAAAACCCTATGATCCACGCACCCTGTGTCTAATCCTCTGCAATGGGGCCAGTCTGCAGATCCGTCTGGGCGGGCTGCGGTAGCATTCTCCACCTGCCAACACTCAGTTGCTGGTGAGTAACCAGCATACGGACACTCACTTCCTGTGAGTATTTCTGAAAGAGCTTATGATATTTCCTTTAAAAAAAAAAAATAGGAGGAAAGCCACTCAGGGAGGAGAAGCAACTTCAACAAGCAAAGCTAAAAGCATGCAACGTGATCACTGTTGACCAGACACGCCTAATTTTAATTTGGTTTCTCAACCCCTGTGTAATTAAGACAGCCCAAAGAGAACAGCATCAAGGGGTGGGGGGGAAAAAAGACATTTCACAAATGCTTAGACCTTCGGCGCGCGTGACCAGAAAAGTAATTTTAAGATTCAAGCGAACCAATCTGAGGCTGGTTGGAGCATTAACCCTTCAAGGAAAGAGAAAGAGTTATTTTTGTTTGTCCCCAAATTTCAAATACGGAATTCATCTTCCTTACCAGGAACTGAGATGCCAAAAATCAGCCTCTAAATACCATCCCCTGGGGTTGTGAGATGGAAAAACTGTTTCAGATTTGTCCATCACAGGGGCAGAAAAATACCTATTTATGAGACCCAGCCACATTAACACAACAGCCGACATGGTGCTCACACTCAGGCACCCCCCTTTGAAAACCGGCCACTAAGGCTCAAATGTGACATTTTGTATTTCTCTAGGCTGTAGCCAAACCTGTTAATTTATGTCAGAGAGAAGAGCAGTATTTCTTGACAACTGGGCAAAATGAGTAAGAAAAATTGCTTTCATCCCACCTGACAGAGTATCAGTGGTGACAAAGCTCACTTTCTGAGATTGGTAGGTGTTTTGCTGAAAGATAGATTTTTCAGAGCCTGTCCTTCAGCTTCAGGCTGTGAATGTGCTTCCAACTTGGGGCCTCCATGTGCCACACGGTGGGGAGGGGGCCTCTTGAAGGAGGAGGGAGGAAAATATAAACTTCTACTTAATGGGCACTGAAAAATAAAACACATTACCCAAATTCACACCTGTATTTATCACACAATCCATGGAAGCCCTTAACCTGTAACACGGCAGCACTTTGCCACTTAGACCCCAACTCTTTTAGTTCACATTTTTGGATACTCAAGATAAATATGAAAAAAAAATATAAAAACATAATCTGTGATTTATACTCTGGAAGGGAATTTTCATTTTTTTTGAGATGGGGTCTCACTCTTGTCCCCCAGGCTGGAGTACAGTGGCGCGATCCTGGCTCACAGAAGCCTCAACTTCCTGGGATGTGATACGCTTTTATCATCTTTACCAAACTGATATTTTAACAAGAAGAGTATGGAAAGCATTTGCCTGAGACACATAATTGATTGATGGATTTTAGAGGCAGGGTCTGACTTCATTTCATCTCAGCCTCCGGAGTAGCTGAAACTACAGGTAAGTGCCACCATACCCAGCTAATTTTTTTTGGTAGAGATGACGCCTTGCTCTGTTGCCCAGGGTGGTCTGTAACTCCTGGCCTTTAGCGACTCTCCTGCCTTGGCCTCCTAGAGCACTGGGGTTACAGGCATGAACCACTGTGCCCAGCCTGCATGATGTAATCTCCAAATTGAGGGTAAGTAAAAGGTAGCACCTATAACTAGAGGTAAATTTTTAATTTAAAACAACTACACTACACAATAGTCATCTCAGCCCTTGCCCATGAAACCTTATGAACCTCAATAGAAAAATAGGAATATTCTGTGATAGGGCCAAAGGAACAGGAACCCTTTACATGGAGAGTACTTTCAAATAGCTACCATTTTTTAAAATCCCATTGATACCAAGCTCAGCAAAAGAGGCCTGACCACTACGCAGCGATTAGAATATCCACTCTTCTCTCTTACTCAGAAGGAAGCCTCCGTCTCCCACTATGACAGGTATACACACAAGTTCCCAGCTCTCAGTGTTTCTGTGCAATTTGTTCCTGTTTCAGACGGCTTTCCAGGAAAGTTCCTCTTAAGTCCTGGGTGGCCAATGCAGAGGTTTTAAAAAGAGGAAAAGTCGAGCAAAACAAAAAGATCATGAAGTAGAAGCTTGGGGAGGGGGCAGCAAAGAGAACATGAATCTAACAGATGCAGCAGTTGCAAAAAAAGCTGCTATCCTTTAGAAACTCCTGTTAATTTGGGGACCTAAAGGGAGCTGTTTCTAAGGCTGGATATTGAGAATGTGATGAAACCATGGAGGCTGTCCAGGCCCTTGCTATGCTGTGGACACCTTTCAAGAGTTATAGAGTCCACCCTCTCCAAACAAAGTAAAACCCCATGACAAATGTCCTTCACGTTTAACATTTACTCAGTTCTCTTTTAAACAAACAAATGGAGAGCACTCTTTCGTGGCACTTTTATAGGCAGGGGAGAGAGTGGTCTCACAACCGAAGGGCACCAGCCACTGAGAAGTCCTAAGGCTATGTTTGAGTTCTGCCTCGTCTTTTTTGCTAATTTGTTCTTGCGCCTATCACCCAACCTCTCTAAGCCAGTTTCATCGTCAGCGACAACAGCACACTGACATGCAGGGCCCGCTCAGGAGCTACCACAAACTGCACATCCGTCCATTTGTTTAATCTTCACAGCAGCCCTGGAGGTAAGTTCTATTTTTATCCTCATCCTACAGATAAGGAAACTGAGGCCCACGGAGCTTAAGGACACGCCCGGGGTTACACAGTCAGTAGGTGGTGGAGCCAGGATTCAGAGCCAGGGAGGCTTGACCTTGACTTCACACTCCAGAGCCTGCCCTCAGCATGTCTGCCAGTCACACCCGGGTTGGCTGCACAGCAAGGAAAACAGCATGTAAGAAACGACCTTAAAACCTACCAAGACCGTAAAAACACGAGGTAGATTTTTAATCATGTCACATGCAAATATATTCTCTGTAAAAATGTAATGAAGATTCAGGACCACTAAGCAGTGGTAACTCTGCTGGTCCTGTGAAAACAGTTTCATATAACTTGCAAGTTACTTAGCTGCACAATGTGTGGTACTGAGTTGTAGAGGTAGACGGGATTCAGAGATCCTGTTTTCCGTCAGGGTGGTTGGGTGAGGCTCCCAGACCCAGACCTGAAGTCTGAACCTTCATCCTTTCACTCCCAGCCCAATGATGTGCCGCTGTGTCATAGCCACATGGTGGTTACGAATGCTTCTGGAACTCTACATTTTAATCTGCCAGGCATCCATCCATTCGCTCACATAATTCACGTGTGTGTAATAGTAACCTTCAGAAATGAATGTCACAATATTTTTCTCATTACAACATCTTCAGGCTTTAAGATGAAAAGGGTGAAGAAAGAAATCTTTTCTAAACCTTTTATTCCCACTATTCGCTTTTTTATTCAAGGAAAAACAGAGGCTCTGTTAAAGTTCTGCTTACAATGAAGTGTAACTGAAGTTCTATCCAATTCTTTCCTCTTCTCTGTAAACTTGTTCACATGCAACAGCCTCTCTGATGTTAACAGGCTGTTCCTCCCAAGTGCCTGCACATCATGGCTACAGGAGTCACCGGAAGGAACTTGCCTCGGTGGCAGTTTGGAGGCTTCCCGGGCTTTAATGATGAAAAATAATTTGGTCATTTAAGACAGAGGCCCGCTCTGTTGCCCAGGCTGGAGTACAGTGGCGCCATCATAGCTCACTGCAGCCTCAAACTCCTCGGCTCAAGTGATCCTCCTGCCCCAGCTTCTTGAGTAGCTGGGACTACAGGCATGTGCCACCACATCTGGCTATTTCTTTTTTTTTAAATAGAGAAGGGGTCTTGCTATGTTGCCCAGGCTGGTCTTGAACTCCTGGGTTTAAGCAATCCTTTCACCTTAGACCCCCAAAGCACTGGTTCACAGGTTCATAGGTATGAACTACCACGCCTAGCCTAGCTATTTACTCTTAAAGGAAAAAAATAATGTTTTATTTAGTGTTCCAGCCTTTCATGCTATTTACACTAAAGTTTGGCCTTATTATGTTCGCTTAGAATCTTTTAATGGGTTTACGTCGTGTTGGATCACATCAAAACACTCGAAAATACCTCTTTCTAAAACAAAGACATTCATTGACCAAAAAAAGTTAAGCAAAAAAGGAGACCAGCCAGGTATTTAGTTCCATTTAAGAGAGCAAAGGCGACTGTATGCAAGATTCTGGAAAATTTATGTTCGTTAAATTTATAAGCCAGCACTTTTTTCCCAAAGATTTATTTGGTGTGAAAAGTTACTTCCTGTACTGTAATCATAAAATCAAATGTTATTTACTCCTGTCATAACCATTCACATACTTCCTGCCATAAAAATTTAAACCTGGCTAGAATATTAAATAAAACATGCAAAAAACTACAAGTTCAGGAAGTGACTGTATGTATTATATACATTAAGTTCATATTCCAATCTAAGAGCTGAATCACCCCTACTTAGGAAAACCAGTATTATGTTTTATCATCTGGGGTGACTAATCCCACAATGGCCCATGCAATGAACTTTAAGGGTAAAAAGGGCTTTCTCTTTTGCACTAAGCTCAGTCCGTAGTTTTGTGGGGGCTGTCAGGACGCCTTGCAGGTCTGCTGTGTGTAGTGGGCTGAAATATACTGCACATGACCCAGGGTTACAACTGTAAAGATCCAAAGACTTACTTAGGGTAGATGTGCACACTTTAAATGCATGTGCATGTTTTTCTTTGATGCTTGCCTACTTCTAAAAGAAAACAAGCTTCTAAATGCTTAGGCTTCGGCATGTCGAGTAGGAAAATCAGAGCCAGTGTACACATCCAATGATAGAAGAAAGCGTGCGTGAACAGATTTGTTTACAAAACAGGGCCCAGCAAAGTCTGTCTCTCAGTGCCTCGGCAGGATCCATCCAACAAAACAAACACACAAACACACTGATCTAGGGAACTCACTCTTCCTTCTGATGAAGGTGTAACAGTTTGTGATTATAACTGGGCAATAAGTTACAGCATAATCACGTGACCCAGGCTTGAATTGGAGATATGCCAACAAATCCAGTTTAACACAAGTGCGCGCAGCACACACACACACACACACACACACACAGAGATATATGCAGTATAGTGGTTTCAGCTCTCCTTCTGTGGCATTAATCTCAAATCTGTATCTTTAATGGTAGCTACCTCTCCTACCTATATCTTTAACATATTTCTATCTGGATAGGGCAGACCCTTTAAGTTCATCGTGAAGCAAAAAAACCAACACCCTTCTATTGATTTTACTTTACTTAACTGTATAGCCATCTACCAGGGTTGCAAGTTTGGCCTCTGGACTCCCTTCTTCACTGAGCCGAGCTGAGCCATTCTGTCACCAAGTCTAGTCAATACTTATTTTCAATGTCTGCTGCCTCCATCCTCTCCCTCCCATTCCCGTTTCCAGTCACCCAGGGTGCACCTTTCTCTCTATTCTTGGACAAGTAAGACAGCCTTTGTAATTGGTTCACTTGCCAATGAGCAACTGGGTGGTGAAGAAACAGCAGGCAGTAGGAAGGTTGGGTTCTAGGCTTAGCTATGCCAGAACCAAACTACCTGTTGCCAAGAAAGTACATCATATCCTTGGGCCTTAGTGTTCTCACCTATGCCATGAAAAAACTGCCTATCAAATGTTATTAGCTGATGCAGAGCATACAGTCACCAACTGCTCTTCTAAAATGTAGTAAAATTCATGTCGCTGCATTCCTCAAAATCTTTCTGTGACTTTGCAATGTCTAGAGGGTAAAACTTAAGCTCTCTAGCTTCTGGGTTTATATATAAAGAATTAAACAAAATATGTGTAAAAGTCTCATATAAAATGTAAGATACCACACAAAAGCAGTAACAGCCCTAGTGAGGACAGGACTATTTCTTAAGCTCATGCACAGGGTACTACTCAGGGGTTTTATACATATGGGTTCTAATCCTCATGACCATGATGCAAGGTTGCTTTTATTACTCTATATAAAAGATCAAGAATCTTAGGTTCTGTGAAAGCACACCCAAGGTTATAGAACTCAGTGAAGTGTCAGGGGTGGCTTCCAAATCTACATGTGGTTGATTATCAAGCCCACTAAACCATACTGAGTACTTTAAATACAACATAATATTTGGCAGGGGGTGGGGAGTCATTACTTGAGTAATCATTATCTGAATCCCTGTAGTTACCAAGTTGCATAAGGGAAGCAAAAGTCATCATCCTATAAAAATACTGACAAATACAGTGATCGCTTATTATTAGTCCTCATTAACATCAGCATCTATGCTTGCTCACTTTCTTGGTTGAATAATGTCATAGAATAAAATGAAAATCCAATGCAGTTCACTTGTAAGGTGGAATTGCAGCTTTTCACACAGTTGATAAAAATGATACCAGCAAATTGCATGAGTCACATAGGGTCACTGACAAATAAGGATGAAAGACAGTTTCAACAGTTAACAGCTGGGGAAGAGAAAGTCCACAGAGGTGATTACAGGAGAGGTAGACTCTTCCAGAGAATGGTTTGTATATCAAAAGATTAAGAGAGGCCTTCGGGGAAATGCGAATGCTTATACAAAAATCATCCTTTTTATATGATTCTGCTTTAGAAGTCAACATTCAATTTTTCTTCTAAGAAATAACATGCTGTTTCATCATATCCCAAATTTCTATTATATAAAACTAAGCTTCAACTTTTGTTTTAGTTTTCTCAGGACTTAGTCCCAATAAGACCTTAAAAAAAAAAAAGTGACTATTTGTTTTTAAATGTTTGATTCAGTTTTAAGTCAATGCTCTTAAAATAGTAGTAGTGGTCCTGTATCAGTTATCTTCAGATAACAAGTACCTTTTGAAATGGTAGTAATAGGAAAAAAAAGAAGAAAATGATTAACTGATATGCAAATAGTAGGCAACAAGAAAGAACTAATTCTTCAGCTCACAATGGAAAGTAATGTCCTAGTTTTTCTCTCATTTCAAGATCTCAGGCTCACCCAGACCAAAGCACCGAGCAAGAAGCCTTGCTCATCACCCCCATGCCCCATTCTCACCACTGTGTCAATGCCAGTGTGGATATGGCATTTGTATGGTATTAGGCCAGACCCTGGGCATGTCTGACTGTCGAGGCAAAACTAGACTGCAGCCCTGCAGACCCTCAGTCTAAATCCTAACTTTACGTAATTCACTCCATCCATTCTGTCTTTATCTAGACATCTGAAGAGCTCCACCTTTTTTTCAGAAGACAAAGAGTCAGGGACCTGGAAGAATTCTGTCCTATAATAACCCGCTTTCCAAAGGCACCCCTGTATCACGATCCTTCCTGACACATACCGGTGTATATATCAAATGGTTTTGGTTCCTGCAAATATTCTTCATCAAAGGTTCAGAGAAGGGCTATTTTGAGAAAGATTTAATGGGATTTGTAACATAAAACCTCAAATGCATATTGAGTTAACTAAGACAACTCTGGAACACAAAGTGTGGTTGTTATACCTTGCTTTTTCTGGTGACTATAATCAAATCCAAGAATCTAATAAAATAGTCCCTCATGCCAGAAAGAAACCCAAGAAGGTATGTCCTCAGAAAATGTAGTCTGAAGTCGGTCAATTCTAAGGCAGTCACTCTAAGTGATCACAACTTTCTTCGTGAGCTTTTGGCCTTGCAGGATTGATGTTTGCTACAGAGATCCTGGCTTGCTCCTAAAGAGAGTTCTGCGACGCTGTGAAATAGCTCCTTTTCTCTGAAAGCACAAAGTGTTACTCTTCATTAAGAAAATAATAGAGTTGTGATCCACGCATTACACCTGTGAGTCTTTCTCATGTGTGTGCAAAACATACACACATTCAGTGAGGCACCGTGGAAGATTAATATAGTCACATACACAAGAGCCTGTCTGGAATTCAGAAATCTGAAATTGGGGAATGGCGTGAGCCGAAGTGAGACGGGAAGGAAAGAGGTGGCAGTTCAGCAGTTGGGAACTTCTGACTGTGATTCCGAATCCTTTTTTTTTAAAAAGGATTTTGTAGCACTGACCCCAAAGGCAGCACAAAGACGTCGGTGAAGCGTGTATTAATCGAGGCCATTGAGGATGTTATTTTCTCCTTTAAGACTCTGACCAGAAGCTGAATATGCCAGCGGCAAATGCAGGCAGTGCTGCTGTTCCCTTCACAGTCCTCAGAGGCAGTGAAGCCTGTGCTTGAGACGCGCAGGGCGGAATGCTTGTTTTGGAGAGCATTCAGCAGATAGCATTTGGTTTCCTCCATTTAACCAGGTCACCCAGGCATGGAATGCACAGCTCTGCCAGACAGAAAGCGCTTTGGATGCCTGAGAAACAACAGCTTGTCCGGGCCACTGATGCGAAGAGAGGCCACGGTTTCCTTTTTCTCTGCTCTGAATGGCAGCCTTGACGTCACAACAGCTAGGAACCACTGGAGGGACAAATAACAAGGCGCAAGCCAGAAGCGCCCTGCTCTGTCGCAGGGGCAGGGCCATTTTCATGCAGTTCTGATGTCTTCTGTGGTCGCTGCGAGTCGGCGGGAGCAGAGACAAATGACTGGAGCTTTAGGCGTAAAGGCGGTGTCTCTAGGCTGATCAAACAGCCCTTGCCCAGTGCTAATTGCCTTCACGGAACCTGGATAAACTATAGTTCCCGAATTAAACTTGTTTCTGACGAACTAGACTTCCCAGGGA